GGCCTGGTGCACTGGGAAGACCCAGAGGGATCGGGTGGAGAGGGAGGTGGGAGGGGGGACCGGGATGGGGAATACATGTAAATCCATGGCTAATTCATTTCAATGTATGACAAAAACCACTGCAATGTTGTAAAGTAATTAGCCTCCAACTAATAAAAATAAATGGAAAAAGAAAATAAGAGGAAAAAAAAAGAAAAGAAAATTGGAAAAATTAAAATAAAAATAAAGACTAACTAATTTTTTGAGCTAGTATGTATAAATCTTTAAGGTCTCATGTCATTTGCATAAAGAATATTATGCATGTAAAACTTTAATAAAGTGTTTTAAATATGGTAAATCAGTTGTTCTGTGGATTTGAATATATTGCAAGTTAATGCTCTACTATCATTTTCTGGATCTATGTTTTAGCTAAAAAACAACAGATTCTGTAACTATATAGCTGAGAGACAGAATAGTTAATAATCTTTTGTTTCACAAATCCTTAGAACCATAGGATAGTGTTCAAAATCATACTATTTATATTCTCCATCTGTTCAGGATCATTAAAAAGAAACTACCAACTAACACAGTATTGTAAATCAACTATACTTCAGTTAAAAAATAACTTGTAATAAACTCTTCCATATAAACTAACACAATTCTAGCAAGAAAGGCAAGTGACAGGATAGGTAGCTATAAAGAAAACAGAACGTAGGCTTAATACTGTTAGTAAATTGACCTGGAAAGAATTCAGTCTTCCTACCTTTTCACTTTTTTAAATAAAAAAGGCAATGGAGTGAATCAGTAAAATGGAAATAATGAAACCTTTGACAAATTTCTATGATACTACAAAAATATAAGTGGACAAAGTCATATAGACCATGCTAAGAAATAAAGTTTTCACTAGCAAATACTGCTAGGTCAAAAAAAAAAAGCCCTAGATCTGACATTGTGACTTTTTAGTATAACTATCAGAACCTGAAAACAATTGTTAAAAGGCAGAGGAGGTATTGGCATAAAGAATAATATTCAATAAAACTTCAGTAAAATAAAAATATGATTAATCTATTGTTTTTCTAATGCATAAAGTCATAATCACTCTCCAGATTTTCTACTATAAAACATAAATAAGGAGATTGGGTGAAATGTACATGTACCACTTTCCTTTTCTAAGTGACTAGTATTGGGAACACAGTGGGTCAGCAGGAAGGATAGAGATCTATCTCCTAAAGATGTATATGCCCCCAAGTATCTTTCGAAAGGAACTTGTAGTCTTTTTACAAATGTTTATATAAAAATTATAATTTCATCCAATTGGATAGCATAGATTTCAACCTTTAGAAAACAACAGAAACAAGCAAAAACAACAGAAATTGTCCTTATAAACAACAGAAACTGTCCAAAAAAATTGTGCTGAATAAATACAGTTGTGTTTTACCAATATTAAGATTAAATCTTGTGAAATACAAAACTGGCTTATTGGGATTTCAAAGTTTGATTGAGAACTATAATTGTTACTCAATTTATTAATAGAATAATTGTGCCTAAATTTTAATATAGTTCTTTATTGCAAAGTACTTTTTTTCCAATGAGTCCAGCTATGACAATCTCAAAAGTCTCAAAAGTATGAGAAATAGATGACTTCAATTTGAAAATACTATTTTACACTATTCTTAGTTCATTTATGCATTTCAGACTATAATCTCATGTCCTTCTTTCCAAACTTTATCAAAATCCTTCTCACCTTATAGATTAAATGTCATCTCCTCCATCAAACTTTCATAAGTCTGCCTAATTAAAATGGATTGTTGCATCCCCACAATATATAGCTTATACTCTATTAGAACATGTACTGCTAACTGCCTGGCATTAAATTTCTTTCTTATCCTTCTTTCCTACCACCACATATAATGTTTGAAGCAGGGCTATTCTGATACCTTGTATAGTGCCTAGAATAGGCATTTAATTAATAGTTGCTCAGGGTAAATGCCCAGTAGAGGGATTGGTAGTGTCATATGGTAGTTTTATTCCTAGTTTTTTAAGGCATCTCCATACTCTTCTCCAGACTTCCCTGATAGCTCAGTTGGTAAAGAATCTGCCTACAGTGCAGGAGACCAGGTTCAATTACTGGGTGGGGAAGATCTGCTGGAGAAGGGATAGGCTACCCACTCCAGTGTTTTTGGGCTTCCCTTGTGGCTCAGCTGGTAAAGAATCTGCCTGCGATGTGGGAGACCTGGGTTCAATCCCTGAGTTGGGAAGATCCCCTGGAGAAGGGAAAGGCTACCCACTCCAGTATTCTGGCCTGGAGAATTCCATGGACTGTATAGTCCACGGGGTTGCTAAGAGTCAGACATGACTGAGCAACTTTCACTTTCATGCTCTTCTCAATAGTAGCTGTATCAATTTCCATTCACACAAACAGTGCAAGAGGGTTCCCTTTTCTCCACACCCTCTCCAGCATTTACTGTTTGTAGATTTTGTGGTGATTGTCATTCACCAGTGTGAGGTTAAAACCATAACTGAAAAAGACACATGCACCCCAATGTTCATTGAAGCACTATTTACAATAGCTAGGGCATGGATATTTCCCTTGTGGTTCAGCTGGTAAAGAGTCTGACTGCAATGCGGGAGACCTGGGTTCAGTCCCTGGGTTGGGAAGATCCCCTGGAGAAGGGAAAGACTGGCTATCCATTCCAATATTCTGGCCTAGAGAATTCCATGGATTTTACAGTCCATGGGTTCATAAAGAGTCGGACACAACTGAGCAACTTTCACTTTCAGGGAATGGAAGCAACTTAGCTGTCCATAGACAGATGAATGGATAAAGAAGCTGTGGTATATATATACAATGGAATATTACTCAGCCATAAAAAAGAACAAATTTGAGTCTGTTCTAATGAGGTGGATGAACTAGAGCCTATTATATAGAATGAAGTAAGTCAGAAAAAGAAAAAGAAATATTGTATATTAACACATATATATGGAATCTAGAAAGATGATACTGATGGACCTATTTGCAGGGCAGCAAAGGAGATGAAGACATACAGAACAGGCTTGTGGACACAGGGGGATGGAGAGGGTAGGACACATGAAGAGAGTAGCATGGAAACATATACACTGCCAAATGTAAAATAGCCAGTGGAAATTTGCTCTATGACTCAGGGAGCTCAAATTAGTGCTCTGTGACAACTTAGAGGGGTGGTATGGGGTGGAAGGTGAGAAGGAGGTTCAAGAGGGAGAGGACATATGTACACCTATGGCTGATTCATGTTGATGTATGGCAGAAACCAACATAATATTGTAAAGCAATTATCCTTCAATTAAAAATAAATAAATTTTAAAGATATTTAATACTTGCTAAATGAATCCTCTAAATATTTGAAAATGCAACATGTTCTCCTCCCCCCAAATTTTCATTTATATAATTTAGCAAAAATGATTTAAGCTCTCAGGACCACCATTTTTAACTAAATGACCACATAACACTTTATAAACCAAGTTGAAACCATAGCATCAGTGTTAACTTATGAAATCTGGATATGAACACCTCTCAAATTTCTGTCCAGTGACTGGCTCATCTATACAAGTTTAGAGGTGATGAATTTGCTACCATAAGATGTACAGCTATAGTAAGTTCTATCTGTTGGTTCTAGAGTTTATGTCATGCACTATGTCACCTGACTTCTAGTTTTACAATTCATTTACACATCTACTAAAATTGTTTTTATACTAAAACTTAAGATCAAAGGCTTACTATATGAGGACAAAAATGAGAATGATTATACAAGAAAAATAATGAAACCAATCATTGATTTTGGCATTTTATAAATTCAAAATTTCTAGCAGTGATTGAAAATAGCAAAACATTTTTGAATGAAAGGAAATAGTTACAGAGGAAAAATCAATTAGCAAATACTGAATTTAAATTATGTTCAAGACTGCATGGGGGAATATTAAGAAACAATCCCCACTCTTAGTAGAATTTAAAATAATTCTTAATATTAAGGAATACATTAAATTGAGGGCCTTTATATTGGTTAATTCTTAATATGCATTTACCTGCTTCATTAAAGGTTGCTTGTTTAAAGGGCTTTGTCCAAACTTCAATCCAAAAGGTTCTTGGTTTGGTTTTTTATCCTTTCTTTCCTCAACATTGTTTGGCTTTTTGTCATTTCTTTTCTCAATGTTTGGTTTTTTGTCATTTCTTTTCTTGATGTTGTTTATTTCTTTGTCATTTCTTTCCTCAAAGTTGTTTGGTTTTTTGTAATTTCTTTTCTTGATGTTGTTTGTTTCTTTCTCATTTCTTTCCTCAACGTTGTTTGGTTTTTTGTCATTTCTTTTCTTGATGTTGTTTGTTTCTTTCTCATTTCTTTCCTCAACGTTGTTTGGTTTTTTGTCATTTCTTTTCTTGATGTTGTTTGTTTCTTTCTCATTTCTTTCCTCAACGTTGTTTGGTTTTTTGTCATTTCTTTTCTTGATGTTGTTTGTTTCTTTCTCATTTCTTTCCTCAACGTTGTTTGGTTTTTTGTCATTTCTTTTCTTGATGTTGTTTGTTTCTTTCTCATTTCTTTCCTCAACGTTGTTTGGTTTTTTGTCATTTCTTTTCTTGATGTTGTTTGTTTCTTTCTCATTTCTTTCCTCAATGTTGTTTCGCTTTTTGTCATTTCTTTTCTTGATGTTGTTTGTTTCTTTGTCATTTCTTTCCTCAACGTTGTTTGGTTTTTTGTCATTTCTTTTCTTGATGTTGTTTGTTTCTTTCTCATTTCTTTCCTCAATGTTGTTTCGCTTTTTGTCATTTCTTTTCTTGATGTTGTTTGTTTCTTTGTCATTTCTTTCCTCAACGTTGTTTGGTTTTTTGTCATTTCTTTCTTCAACGTTGTTTCCTGAATGTCCTTCAAAAAAGAATTATTTTCTGTATTTTCAGTCAGTAAATTCAACATATCTTTCAGAAAGAATTACCTGTGATCTTATTGTCTTAAAGCTATACACCCATATATGCAAAGCTTTTGATATTTCATTAGTATGATACCATCTGAGAGTCTCAGTGAACTCTAGAACAGTCTTTACCATACTGTTTCTATGTGTATCTTAATACAGCAGTCTTCTCTGTATACAGTACCTGAAATTTGGTTTCATATGCCACCAAAGTTGGGACATGTTATTTGAAATTAATTGAAAGAATACTTTAACAGAGGAGTTCTCTGGTGGTCCAATGGTTAAGAATCTGCCTTCCAATGCAGGGGATATGGGTTCAGTCCCTGGTTTGGGAAGATTCCACATGCTGCCAAACAACTAAGCCTGTGTGCCATAACTCCTGAGCCCACATGTGGCAACTACTAAAACCTGTGTGTCCTAGAGCCCATGCTCCACAACAAAGAGAAGCTACAGCAATGAGACACCCAGGCACCACAACTAGAGAGTTGCCCTCACTTGCCACAACTAGAGAAAGTCCAAGAACAGCAACAAAAACCCAGAACAGCCAAAAATCAATAAACTCTTTTATTTAAAAGGATATTCTAATAGAAAAAAAGAGAGATGGAACGAAGCTGTCTGTCTTGTATTAATCCTGTGAATATTTGCCTCAATCATTGCTTTGATTTGGGTGTAAAGACAGCTTAAGGAATGATCAAAGAATATAGATATCCAAAAGGCTCACAAAGATCTATTTTATGTTTAGTTGGAAACGTGAGATTATTGCCCTCCCACCAATCTTAGCAGCTTTGCCCCACAATAACCACCATCCCTCCTTTTGTCAGAACCTGCTAAGCCACTGAAGGATTTAAACAAGAACTATAATGAAGCTGGGTAGGCAGCTGGAAGAGGTTCAGAGTATGTACAATGTCAAGATGGTTCCAACCTGTGCACTAGACTATGGAGATCCTTAAGGTTGCAAAGACTTCTCTACTATGGCAATGCCTAACACATTCATATTAAAATGCTTACATTGCACTGACCAACGTAATTATGGATACAAAGGGCTGTCTTTGTTCTGTGCTCTCGTTGCCTACAACATTTATTTTTTCAAAATGTAGATACAATGATGCTCAGGTTATTAACCATACTCTTAACCCTCCTGTATTGCCTCCTTAAAGTAAAATTGGACCATCCAGACAGGCTTGTGAACAAGTATAAAATATTTCTCATTCTTATCCTTCTCTCCCTTAAGGAAGTAATTCATATAATTTTTTTTTTTCATTTGCTATGGCATGAAGTTATACCATCCTGTAGACATGCATTTCCAAGAAAGATTAGACTAGCAACATGCAATTTTAAAACACATTCCAAGTTTGTGAATTTGCTTATCCAGTTACTCAGAAATATTTCAGACTTTTTTTTAACCATGTATGATTTTTCTGTAAAATTTACCTCTCTGCTGGTGATGCTTATGAGCATTTGATTGCACTCTTGAAAATGAGCTATTTTTTTGCTCTTTCTGTGTCCCATTCTTTTCTTCTTCGGTGCTTGTATCTCCTATCTTTCTAAGGATTATAATGTTATCTGTATTTGAAAACAGAAAAAAATAAAGACAATTGAAAAAGCTGAATCACAGCAATGGGTCTCAAGAGCATAATCTATATTGTTACCGCAATATATTTCAGAATACTTTTAAAAAAGGGTAGCCCTGAAAAATAACACTATAATAATAATGCACTTATAAAACCATAACAAAGATCAAAGAATGCAGATATTTTAGGATTTGTTTCCTGGAAAAGAGAAAAGTTCCTGTTAAACAGATTTATAGTAACTTCATTTATGAAAAAAAAAATACTCTCACCATAAAGTAGCTTAAGGGGGAAATCATTTAGATAAATGATTTTACTAAGTTATTTTAGTTTCAGGGAAACATACAGCAATAGCATCATCCCTATATGTAAGATGACACTTATGTAAGACTATATGTAACACCTAAATAATTAGTTGCATTTATTTTCTTGTAAAGTAAGAGAGGAAACAAGGGCAATGGACACTGATAGGAGATACCAAAGTCAGGAACCAAGATTAGTGTAGTAGTAGAAGGCATTCAGAATACACAGAAGAACTGTACAAAAAAGATCTTCATGACCCAGATAATCATGATGGTGTGATCACTCACCTAGAGCCAGACATCCTGAAATGTGAAGTCAGGTGGGCCTTAGAAAGCATCACTATGAACAAAGCTAGTGGAGGTGATGGAATTCTAGTTGAGCTATTTCAAATTGTGAAAGATGATGCTGTGAAAGTCCTGCACTCAATATGCCAGCAAATTTGGAAAACTCAGCACTGGCCACAGGACTGGAAAAAGTCAGTTTTCATTCCAATCCCTAAGAAAGGCAATCCCAAAGAATGCTCAAACGACCGCACAGTTGCACTCATCTGACACGCTAGTAAAGTAATGCTTAAAATTCTCCAAGCCAGGCTTCAGCAATACGTGAACTGTGAACTTCCAGATATTCAAGCTGGTTTTAGAAAAGGCAGAGGGACCAGAGATCAAATTGCCAACATCCACTGGATTATCAAAAAAGCAAGAGAGTTCCGGAAAAACATCTATTTCTGCTTTATTGACTATGCCAAAGCCTTTGACTGTGTGGATCACAATAAACTGTGGAAAATTCTGAAAGAGATGGGAATACCAGACCACCTGACCTGCCTCTT